ATACAAAACCCACTCAAAAAGTTTCAAAAAATAATAAAATTGTTTAGACCCCGAACTAAAGTGAAAACAAAAAGTAAAAAGTGAAAAAATACGTGCCACTGGGCGAGCACGTTTTGACAATGCCATCTTTGGCGATTCTTAATTCTTATTCCGCTTAGCCAAATGACTTGAAAATTTACAGGCATGTACCTCAGGTCATAGAGAACGAAAAATTCAGAAAAAAATAATTATTTTTAGGCCCCGAAATAATTTTTGGCGGGGGCCGAACGCCGTCGGGTTTGGACCCCGTACGGGACCCCGAACGCCCCTACGTACGGAGGTCTGCCCGGGGACCTCCATACGTACGGGCTGGTGACCCTGATACCAACATTAGTGATCACATCCTCGGCTACCAACCGGGCCGCCCGGGTCATCTTGTTTTCCTGGGCGGCCCGGCCGTGCAAGTGCCGAAGACAGTCCAGCTAAATCGTGATGCACATTACCGTAGATGAGGGATGATAGTTACCGATAAAATTTGAAAGAATTCACATCCTTTTCAGACCGAATCGTAGACCATCAGTACGGCAGCCTAGATACTGCCACCCTAATTTATTTGTGCCCGAATTGTTCCCATTCGTGTGCAATGATACCCGGTGGGCCGCCTCCACTGTCCTCCACACCATCGACATGTGCCAAAAGAGAGCGAATCAGAAAGACATTGACAAACGAGATCGGGACAGACCGGAGAAGATAGAATGCGCCCACAGAAAATTCGAAAGGGCAAGAGAAGGTGCACTCAAGGAGGCGCACCCACAAACGAGATCCGGGCAGATCGGAGAAGAAAAGGAACGCTCACCTGGGCTACCAGCCGGGCGGCCCGGGTCCCAGGTGGCCAGCCCGTGCAAGGACCAGGGAAGGTCCCGGAAAAAAAAATAAAAAATTCAACAAAATCCGGAAAAAACTATGTTCTGCAGAAACATAAACTAAACGTTTGCCTCAGGGTCACATCGAAATTCTTCACCAAATTCAGAATATAGAAATAATATTTCATTTTTATTTTTTTTCGCCTGGCCGGGCAAGTGACCCCGGGCCACTCTGATAGCCTCGACGCTTACACAAAATTCGAAAGGGCAAGAGGCTGTGGACTCAGCGAGGAGAATACACTGCTTCGACCTCAGGAGATGGAAAGTCAAAGACACAGGCGAATAGGGCGTCATGGGCAGCAACTGGAGAAAGGGCAAGCACGGTACAGCAGTAACACCAGAGAGATTACTGGTAGGGGGGCGACAGTCGGTAAAGTAACAGTAAGGTAAAATATTTTTCATTTGGATTGTTGGTGGTTCTCGTACGAGACCGTATACAATAGTTTTATTAAAAACCACCACCAGGTCCACTCTGCTGCAGCCTTGCAGCTGCCGCAGTAGGCATCACAGGGGCGGAGGGAGGCAAAGTGGCATGGTACTTGGGAACAAGTTCCCACCGGGCGAATAGGACGGTTTTCAGACCGGGTATAGGACCGTGTATTAGCATCGTAGGAATAGGTAGAACATATAAATAGCCGAGTACTAATCTGTAAGCAGTCGTTGGTTGTTTTGTATGCTTCATCTTTGGAATATCATAAGGGAAATTGGTTAAACAAGACCGGCGGGTGCTGCCGGCATAACTCCGGGTTGAATTGCAACGTCCCTGGCCTCTCATCAGTGTTTTTTTTTTTTTTCGGGAGTGGAGTAACCCCCCAAAATTGTAGTCTTCTCTGCATGTCGAGAGTACTAGAGCCAGGCCCATAGACATCATAGCCTTTCTATCCATTCGGACGGTCGAGGGGGGGTGGAGGGAGGCGTGTTAATAATTAGTGATTTAAACCGCTTCCCTGAAAGCGCCGCAATGCCAATACATCGCACTCGACACTGATAACAACTTCGTCCCGGAAGAGAAAAAAAACGAAACAAAAACAACGGGTGGTTTTACCCTATGGACAGCGAGCTAAGATCACGAAAAATCTGCCTCGGACACATTTCAACGGAACCATGCAAAGGAATTTATACAGACGTTTTGCCGAAGCGAACTCGCCCCATTGATGAACATACGAGTCAGACGATGCAGAGAAACTGTTCTGTACCACAAAAACATAAACCTTACGTGAGGATGTAAGACGACACAATGCAAAGAAACACTCGTGTTACACTCACAACAAAATCTGCTTCCGACAGAATTCCATCGAACAAAAATAAGAGGGAAAACCAAGGCGCAGTGGCGGTGTTAGTCTAAAAACACCTCAGTCACGATTTCGCGAATGTTGTGCCGAAGTGAGGAAAATGGTGACTGCATCCAACCTAGCTTTAGAGTCGGGTGGGGATGTGTTGGATTTACGGGCTGCCTGAAGGGGATTTTAAACTAAACTCGTGACTCACCTCAGTAACCCCAAAAAAAATACAAAAAGTTATCATGCGCACTCAATTAGGCCATTTCAAAGCTTCAGTGACGCAATCCATTCAATTCCATTCAGCAAGTGTCCCAAAAAAAATACAAAAAGTTATCATGCGCACTCAATTAGGCCATTTCAAAGCTTCAGTGACGCAATCCATTCGATTCCATTCAGCAAGTGTCCCTATCTGATTCTTTTTTCTCCGTCCTACCAATCATCACGATTTCAGGATTCCAAACTCGTAAAAATAGCAGACTACATAAACCTCAACAATCAAACCGCAGCAATTCAACTGCAATGAACTGCCAACACAACATGACTGCAAAACACTGACAAGAAAGTCACACTCAACAAAATTCAGATCGTTTTGAGAGGTCACACTACAGCAAGTCAGCTGCAACTGCAAAAGCTACCAACGCAACAAACAAAACCGCAAAAAATGATCCTGACGTGAATACTGATGTTGTACTCAGAAGGCAAATCCACCTGCCTAAGAAAAATTCCATCGAACAAGAGATATTTTCTTTTTCCAAGTCGGGCACACTGATGTTATACTCAAACCAAATCTAACTCATACATTCCACCCGAACACTATGTTATACTCACAAGCCGAATCTACCTCATACATTCCACCCGTACACACTACAGCAAGTCAGCCGCAACTGCAAAAGCTAAGAACGCCACAAACAAAACCGCAAAAAATGATCCTGACGTCAATACTGATGTTGTACTCAAAAGGCAAATCCACCTGTCTAAGACAGAATTCCATCGTACAAAAAAAAAATCCAAGTCGGGCACACTGCTGTTATACTCACAAGCCAAATCTAACTCAGACAGAATTCCACCCGAACAAACGAAAACTATTGTGTCACAGGGAAACCCATTTCAAAATTTCGTTGGCGTAGTCCATTGAGCAGCTGGTCCCCTCGTTTTGAAACAACAGCTGCCAAGGAACTACCAACACCACACGACTGCAAAACATCCACAAACAAGGCAAGCTCACGTGTCAATTGCGAGCTCGTTTTGAGGGTCACAAACTGCCGAGGCCTTGAGGGTCACAAACTGCCGAGGCCTGTTCTGAGACAAGGGAGCCACACTACAGGACGTCATCTGCGAGACACTACAAGTCACATGACTACAAAACATCGACAATCGACAAACGAGTAAATCATCAAGGCTCGTTTTGAAGGTTTTGAAGGTCAGGAACTGACAACACAGAGTAGTCTACACACGAACCTCGACAACAGAACCGCCTACACAAAATGACAAGAAAACATCGACAAGCCAGTCACACTACAGCAGCTTCAAGGCTGCTTACCATGTCACACACTGGGCAGTCAACACAAATCACCTAACAGTTCAAAAGTAAAAGCAGCATACGCGGACAAAGATAGCCGACCGCACTCATCTCCTCAGCACTCAACTACAAGCNTAAAAGCAGCATACGCGGACAAAGATAGCCGACCGCACTCATCTCCTCAGCACTCAACTACAAGCATTGTACACTAATGACAGTGGGCACAGCCGGAGCCGTGTTATCAGAGCAGCGCCAACACCGCGCTTCACCGATGTACCACCGCAGGTACTAAGGCACTATCCTACTCGTATACATCTTCGACGCGCAATCCGCAGATATAAACATCTCACACCAGCTGTACTATGCGTACCTCTACTCATCTTCCGCCGCCTAAAACATTAATAGACGATCCGCAGAGATTCGCAACTATACCCAAACATCATTCACGTGTATAACCAGATACACATCATTCACGTGTACACGACATCAAAAACCTCCAATCGTCTACTGCCGCCATAAGCGTCGCATTCAGTCCGGCCTCCCAAACGACCTACGGTACTATACAAGATAGACGACGAATCCACGACTTCACAAACTACGAAATCTACGAGACAGAAGATCGGCTGCCTCATTCGGACCGCCACCATATCTATCAGTCTCACTCATTTTCTCTCCTGCTTGGACCCATAAAACGACACCGGGTGCCTAGCATTCGGTCAATCACGTGCGCAATCAATCACATGGCGGATTTCTGACCAAAGTGCGTCGAGAGCAATTATTCCGCGTGCCGCAAGTGTCGTGACAACAATGACATACAAATCTATGAAATCCGCTTCGTCAATGACAAGCACAATCCAAATAATGCATTGGTGGATTGCTGACCCAAATGACGAGAGCAATTGCGAGTGCTCCAAGTGTTGCGGCTACAATGCCATAGAAATCTATTATACACTCCGCTGCTGCCTGATGCTTCGCCAAGTTATCGGCGCATGTCCCTCCGCGTTTTAGTCCTCATGCGAGCAGCTACCTCTACAACTCCCACACCTCCTGCTGCTCTTTCTGAGAGCTCGAAGGCGGCAGAATGACGGAATATTCCGCCCTCCGGGACCGCAGTTGCTTCACAAGATCACTGGGAATGTTGAACGCCTCTTTAACGACGACCTCCGGCATGTTACTAAGCAAGGAGTTATGACCAGCAAGACGGCTCCAAAACGGTCGTGAAGACGTCATCACACCGACGAACTCGAGACCTTCATCCTTCGAGGCGACCTTTACCGACGGATAAAAGCGCGGGATGACAACGACAGACCCAGCATGCACGTCGGTGTCCAGAGCGTTGCTGCCGTCCGGATGGACGATCTGAATCCGCCCGCTACCGCTGGTCACGTGCACAATCAAGTGAGCATTGACAGACCATGCTGGGACCCTCACTGCGCCCTTCTCAAGTTTAACGACTGCGAGAGAGAAACTCAGGCCAAACTTTCCGAGCGCCGGCAGCAGTTCTTTGTTGACGAGCCGAATTTCACCGCCTTCATTGCGGACCGCAGGAGTCGCTGCCTCCACATTGTAGGTGAAATCTCCCAAGAACCAAGCGGCGCTTCCCTGCTCTCGGTGACCACCTTCATGCCGCTCGGTGTGCGCGAGCCCATCCACGAATCTAAACGCGTCGCTCAGAATTTCCATGTGTGACAGCTTACTCACGAACCGCTCCCACAACTCCGGATGCTGAGCCTTACTCACCTTCACGATCCCCACCCCCTTCTGCGAATGGAGTAGTTTCTCCACATCTGACTCGTCCACGCCCCACACTTGGGCGAGCACGTCCTTACTGAAGCCGTGAAGAACGCCGCCGTGCCCTGCGCACCCTTCGCCCTCTCGCTGCGAGCCTCCGGCCAAGAAATAGCACCCGTCCGTCTCAGTCTTCCCACCCTTCTCGCTCGCCGGTGGTGCTGGGAAATCCGTGACTACCAACGCCTTAAAGGTGGACGTCTGACCGCCCTCCCTTTCGCTCTCATGGCGATGAGTGCTCTGATCGCCCTCCCTCTCGCTCTCGTGGCTCTGACCGCCCTCCGTCTCGCTCTCGTGGCTCTGACCGCCCTCCCTCTCGCTCTCGTGGCTCTGACCGCCCTCCCTCTCGCTCTCGTGGCGATGAGTGCTCTGACCGCCCTCGTGGTGATGGTTGCAAATCCACGACACCCAGCCACGCGGAACTACGAGCATCTCCCCCTTCTTGAGTCTCCGAAGCGTTGCCGGGATACCCCACGGCGTCATCAGTCCTGCGTATGCTGAGCCTTCAAGCACGTAGATCACGTGATGGCCCGACGAGTAGCTAGGAAGCAAGAAGCCATCCTCCTCCAGCGTAAGGTGCGCCGCTGAAAACCTCCTACCTGCGTCGGCTATGTGCTCGAACGACTCTGCCCATATAGACACTGACCCTCCCTCTGACTTCAGGACCTCATGGCGTTCAGTGTACTCGAGACGCCGTTCGCCCGTCTTCGTCAAGCCGCCCACGGCCTCTGCGACGACTGCGAACACGCATATCATCGTCAGTGCAAGCACTACTTTGTACCTTACGCCAGTCGCCATAGTTGTCTCCATAGCTGCCTTCAACAGAGCTTTCTTCGTTATTCAATGTCTTCAAATGCCCGAGCGTCTACGAAGTCGAAGCTACGCACACACTTTCGAGCTCTCAGCCAACCGTAGTGTGAACCGAACCCACCTTAACAGAGCCCTCGCACGTCAACCCAGCCAGCCAGCTTTCTGTCGTCGAACACCTGCGTCCAGAACCGAGTACGACGCGGCTATTTATATGATACGCATTGGCGTGACCGTGAGGCACACCCTCACTGGTGGTTCCTCGTGACTTCGGTCATAGCTTGTCGCTGACGACTCCCTGAGTCCCTGCCCTACTGGTAGCGACGACGAACCACCAGCCATAGGACCAGACCCAACGGATGTAATATTCATGCCCCAAAAAGCACGATCCTGGCCGTTGTTTTCAGCAGGTTCACGCTTCCTACCACGATCATAGCACCAGTCGTCCCGGCTCGTCCCGGCCACTTACCACCCAGTTGCACCCACGGACTTGTCGTCGGTTCTTCCCTCGATTCACCTTCCACCACGTACCGCTACTCAGGCTATACATCACCTTCCACCACGTACCGCTACTCTAAGGCTATACACCACGACTCCTAAGACTAACACAGGGAACGCCTGCAAGCATAGCTACCTGGCGAGGAAGGGGTTGCTGTTGCCTCTTGCCCCAGTGGTTTAGGGTGCAGGGTTGTGGCCGCCGGTGAGGGCAGGCTAACTTAAGGGCTGAGCATTTGCAAGCAGCTGTGGCTGCTGTGCCTTCCTTTTCATCTTCCCCCACCCTCATCGAGTGGCTGCTCGATAGGGGTAGGGGAAGTTGAAAAGGGAGGTGTAGCTACTGGCAAATGCTCAGTTGTGGTAGGGGAAGTTGAAAAGGGAGGTGTAGCTACTGGCAAATGCTCAGTTGTCTACTCGATAGGAGCGGAGGAAGATTGAAAGCGAGGCGCAGCTACTGGGAAATGCTTGATCCTTGTGTTAGCCAGGGGGCCGGGGCCCTCACCGGTGACCCCAACCCTGCGGCACCCTAAGCAATTCAGGCAACGGGGCCAAAAAAGGGGCAACATGCAATCCCTTCATAGCGAGGTAGCTATGCTTGCAGGGGTCTCCTGTATAGCCTTCAGAGTAGAGGTAGGTAGTGGAAGTTGAACTGAGAGAAGAACAAAAAGGTCCGAATGTGGTAAGGAGCAAGGGCCCACCGGTGCTATGCTAATCCTAGGAAGTGTGAGCCTTGAGGTGATGATCCAGGGTCCGTACCTCATGGAAACACTCACCCTTCAGACTAAACCCTGATTTGGGCCGCAAGGACGCATCTTGGTTTGAGCAAAGTTAAAGGGTCATGGCATAAGTATTTTTCGGTGTTTGTCGTTGAAATTTGGCAATGTAGGGATGCGTGGCCGAATAGCGACCTCACTGTCAAAAGAACAGTATTGATTTGGGGTACTTTCTTTCTTCGCTTTTTCTTTTTCACAACTTTCTTGTCTGTGCATGTGTGTAGGTAGTTTGAACTCATATTGGATGCAAGCTAGCTTCCCACCAATGCACATGCCAACTAAGTCTTCTCTTCTTGTTTATCATCCTCTTCTCCACGTATCCCTTTGCTGTCAACCTCCCAAGGCTTCTGGGCGGACCAGGGCGGTGGATGATTGGCCGCCAGGTGCACGCCTCGTAATTGGTCATTGGTAGACTGCTCACATATGATGACTATCATTTTCATGTTTTAAAATAAGTTGCAGGAGACTTTCGGCTTTTCTTCATCACTGCTAACCTGGGTCCCGAGTGCATGCTTAAAGACTGAGTTATGTACATGATCTTGGTTGCCAATGTCGAATGAGTGTATATGTGACTGCTCAGTGATGCAGGTGTCTGTGATGCGCCATTTTTTGTACCCCAACGAGCTTCCAAAGCCCTGAGTTTTGTTATTTGTGCTTTGCGATCTTTAACGGGCTTTAGGGGTACCCTTCCTTTTTTACGGCGGCATGCATGAAATCAATGGCCGACGAGGCCTTCCTACTTTTCAAAACATTGTCGAGCGCATCGGTCTCTCAAGGGGCCCTCCCGACCGCGTCACGTAGGATTTGTGCAAGACTTCTTCGGCGTGGAGCTTCAGCCGCTCCAGCCGAGTGCGTTAACCATACCTCTCGCAAACCCCTACGACAAGATATGGTCACGAGAGGTACGACTTACCTCCGCCCAAGGAGTTGTTACCACCCTATAACGGGCGTATCCCCGCCGACCTATTGAACCACGTGTGGAAGCTACTCAGTTGCAATCGCAGAGGTAGCCCAGTCGAGGGCGTTTCTCGTACGATGTAGCATAGGGGGTACGCACGGTCACACGCCTTAATCGGACCCGCATGCGAGCCAACACACTAGGGGCTGATGTCCCAAGCGCGGCTCGGCGCCAGTCGACTAGGACGAGTCCTCCTTACCACGCATTACACCACGTCAAAACAGCAATCAAATCATACACAGAAAACGTTACTAGACATTTTTTTTATCCAACTTATAACTTTTCTGACATAAGATTCAGTTAGGCGCTACAGGCGAGACTCAAAATAAATACCGCGTGGATGCAGGCTTCCTCATATCGACTCGTCATGCATGAATACGCAAGAAGTCGCAACGATGGTGTACTATGTATTGTCAATAATCACGTGGCCCTCAATGGTCTTGAGGGTCACTTTCGACACTCAAGTGACGGCTGACACGCTAAACAACCACCAAGGCGGTTGCGAATCCTACCGTCTTCTGCACCCTGCGAGACTGAGTGATAGGCGGGTCTCGGCTCTTGGTAGCAGTTGGATACCCCTAACACTGAAAGTGGGGTTCCATCTATCGAGGCCTGAAAACAGGTCAAGGGGTTTGACTTTCACAGTTGCTATGCTATGTATCACCGACGATCATGGTCGCGAGGTCAAACTCGGCGGGCGGCCATGATCACAGCAGCCTCCCCTCCGGCCGCGGTTGGGTGCGGCCGCAACTTTCAAGAATTTTTTTAGAGTTAAAAAAATTCCCAAAAAAATAAATAAATATGATATCGTAGATCTTTTCGAGATCTACATAGCGTAATTTTGTTTTGTTTTTTCTACTTCATATTTGAATTTTAAAAATTCAAAAATTAATTTTCCTAATGCAAAAGCTGTTTTTTTTTTTTTTAAGAAAAACCTATCCTACCAGAGTGGCCCGGGTCCACTTGGCTGACCGGGCCAAAAGGAAATTAAAAAAAAACAAAAAAATAAAAATCAGTTTTCAATTAAAAATTTTATTTTAAATATGGTAAAGAATTTCGTGTAACCCCGAGGCAAAAGTTCTTCATTTTATTTTTCTGCATAACATAGTTTGTTTTCGTATTTTTTTGAGGTTTTTTTGGGGGGGGAGGACCTTCCCTGGTCCTTGCACGGCCGGGCCGACCGGGAAAATAGGGTGACCCGGGCGGCCGGCTCGTAGCCTAGAAAAAACTATAAAGCTTATGTGTTTTTTTATTTCACATTCAGTAAAGTTTTTGGATATGACCACAAGGTAAAAGTTGTTCGGTTTATTTTTTTGCATAACATATGTTTTTTCTATAATATTTTGAATTTTTTTGTTTTTTTGAATTTTGTTTTCATGGTCGTAGGGTCACGGCTTTGGCCGCGCATGGTCGCCGCCGTGGGGGATTCATAGTTGCTATGGACTTTAACGTCCAGCTATAAAAAATTAAAAAGGAAACATTTTTTTTCTTCTCAATACGGTCTGTTTCGCCAACACACACGGTCTTAGTAGACCATGCATGCATATCACATATAAACAACAGGGTTATAGAAAAACAAGAGGCGAATATTCCCACTATCACTATGCGACTTCCTTCGAAAATATACTTATGATTACAGGCAAAGTCAAATATGGACTTCTACTCACAAAAAACATATCTGCAATCACATCAATGATTCAACATGGACAAACCACGCACTACACGGGATCAACGTCAACCACTCTCGGCACTCATATCCCTTTGCCTTATCCACACAACCCTCAAACCTTTGTCCAACCTCCCATAATAAAACACTCGGTACCTTTTTAAATGGTCATTCAATAAAATTTATGGCAAAACCCAAAGAAACAGTTCAACCCAAAAGGGCTAAGATCTTTAGGTAGAGTGGCGAGAATGGGTTTAAGTAGAGTCAGAAACCGATGAATCGAAAACTAACCTGTTATTAAAAGGTAACAGGAGATGATTCTCGTAGGATCAGACTAAAACTAATCAGATCTTGAATGGAAATGGTCGAAAAAAAACCTGTAACATAGCACGGGTCAATTCCCAAAACTAAACTAAAAATGTATGAAAAATAAACCCACATATTACACTTTACTCAAAAAAAATGATGTTACCTCTAAGTAAGCGCCAAAAGAAAAAAAACAATTCGGCAGCATCTCCCCTGTACAAGATGGATTGCGAAAATTTATTCTATCAAAATATAATATAACTCTCCTATCAAAATATAATCTAACTCTTCAAAAAATTTCGACAACATTATCTTTACAGAAAGTGTCTTTCAATAATTTATGCTTGTTTGAATATGAAAACTCAAGTGACTTTTAACCTATCTAACCAATGGTCCGAAGATCGGACGCCTCCCCCCGACGTCTCCCCGGACGTAGGGCACCCCCGTCGTCCAGATTTCCGGACGACGACTTTTTGACACTAAACAAAAAAATAAAAATAAATAAATTATGACAGTGTTGCGCATGCCATAGAGACCCCCCGTAAAAAAAATCAGATTTTTTTTAGCATTTGGTGATAGGGGGCTATTTGGGGTGGGAGGGGGGGGTACGAGRGGTTTTGGTGGGGATAGGAGGGGTATAGGTTCGGATTAGAATCTTTGAAGATTCTTATCTTTTTTTCTACTAGCTCAAATAAGCCAAAATTTTGGTGGCATACACCTTATGCGAGGTAGAAGCCACATGATTTTTTTCAAAAAACAAAAAAGGTTTTTTTTTTTTTTTTTTTTTTTTTTTTGCGCTAGGTCGGACATCCCCTGTCCGGTCCGACATCCGGTCGGACGTCCCGGACGGTCAAGGGGGGCCCAGGCGTCCCGGACGGTCAAGGGGGGACCGGACATCCGATAAAACAACCTGGCTTTTAACTCTAGAGAGTCCAATTTTCTCCAACTCTCCGAATTAGCAAGA